TGAAAGGCCAGAATGATCAAATCTGTTACAATCCCTGGCTAACATTTTACAGTTGGCATAGTCTAACCTTTACAACCTCTATCATTTCTCTTTAATAACCCCAAATTACATGCTTGCTAAAAAAGCAGGTCTTTCTCTGAAGTCCTGTCACTGAAAAAAAGTAGAGTTGGGAATTTCCCTTAGAATATACATGCATACCCAAAAGCTTATTCCGTAACCCATAAACATTAATAGTCTGAGAATGCAACCTACCACAGTGTCCATGGGCAGATATCCCTCTGGCCTAAGGATTGAACAGTTCCACATGGCGGCCCGTGCAATCATGACGCTGGCTGCTCCAGTCTCTTGGCGAAACTTTTCTATGTCCTCGTAGCATGAGATCTCCTTTGACCCACCACTGAAAAGAGGTGTGGGGCTTACAAACTTTTTTTTTTCACTGATCTACATATTTTTCAGGTTTCTTGAAAAAGATAGTGGGACTGAGGGAGGGATGGAGAGTGGGAGAGTGGCAGGGATAAGTGGAAAATGGAAGAGTGGGAGGAAGGAGATAAGAAAAGGAAAAAGAAGGAAAGATACTTGGATTTTAAATGAAAATGAAAGAGGAACTAATTACAGCCTTAATGTAAGCAAGAAAGAAAAAAGAAAGAAAGAAAGAAAAAAAAAAGAAAGAAGAAGAAAAAAAAATCTTGTAATTTTGAAGTGATATACATTAGATTTTACACACAGGTAAAACTTTACTTATTCAATTGGCTCCAACTCAATTATCAGAATACCAAAGAAAACCAGCCAAGTATAAAAATGAATAATAGATTTACAATACAAAAACGACAACCAACATGACAAATAAATAAAAAGTAAAAGGGAAACTAAATAAAAGGCCCCCAAAAAAAGGAAAGTGAGATAAAAAAAAAAACATATATACGTATATAAACCTACTTTGCAATGACAGGAATGCTCAGTGCATTGGCAATCTCTCGAATCTGGTCATTGTGGTTGGGATGGTTGGGCCTTTCCTCCTTGGTCCTCCCATGGACAGCAAGGGCTGCCACCCCACACTGCTCTATGGTCCTGCAGAGTGCCAGAGTGTCATCCATGTTATTCAGGAGGCGGATCTTGCATGTGACGGGGATGGACAGGCCTTGAACGAGAGTGGTGAGAATGCTCTTAACCTGTGAATGTTGGGTCAAGATTATTATCCTGCGAAGATGGTGAAAGCAGAGATGGTGAAGGTAGATAGGGAGAGGAGGTGGCGAAAGGGGGAGGAATTGGAAATGGAGGAAGAGAAGGGTAAGGAGACGAGAAAATACACATAGAAGGTGTTATTGGAAAGGAGGTGGAGGACTAGGGATAATATTTGAAAGGAGAGGGATAGGAGGGAGAGGAGGGAGAGTAAGAGGATGTGGAGGATGTGGAGGATGTGGAGGATGTGGAGGAGGAGGAGGAGGAGGAGGAGATGGAGGTTAGGAGGAGGGTAGGAGGAGGAGGGGGGAGAAGTCGATTTGGAGAAGGAGGATGGGCAGGAGAGGAGGAATGAGGAGGACGGGAGAGAAGAAGATGGAGGGAGAGGAAGTTTTAGGATGAAGGGTTAGGAAGGAGGAGAGTGTGAGGTAGGGACAGGAGGAGGCAGGAGAAGAGGAGGAGGAGGTGAGGGAGGAGGAGGTGGTGTTTGGTTGAGGAGAAAAAAGGTAAGAAAAGAGGCGGAGAGGAAGGAGGAGAGGGGGGGGCAGAGGATGGGGCAGGAGAAACATGGGGGGGAGAGGAGGAGGCGTCAGGGAGATGGGTGGGGGTTGGCGGAGCGAGTG